GGAGAGGCGTCCCGCCGCACTAGGCCGGAGGAAGGAGGCGGGGCCGGGTGAACATGGCCAACCCTGCCAAGTGGGAGCGTCTGAGGCCGCTGCGGCCGGACACGCTGCGTGTGAGTGAGGTACACGGCGGGCGGGGAAGGGAGGTGCTGCTTGTGGATAGGGAAAGGGCGGGACGGCACTGCAGCGCTTTGCTCCCAGCGCGGGAGGTTTTAAGGAGCTTCTCGAAAGCCTTTCCTCCGCCTGTCCGGCAGGAGATCCCTGAGTTGGAAAGATGAGGCAGGCCTAGCCAGAGTGGTGCGCGAAAGGGGCGTTGTGATGCATCCCTCCTTCATCGTATTTTAGTAGGCTACCCGGGAAAGGAAAATATAGCGATGTTACTCATAGTGCAAAGGGATGATTTTCTTAGCTGTGTTACCTATAGTCTCTTAACCGAGTTAAATAGGTTGTAGCTATGTTTGAGAAAAACAGACTACAACTGTGTATTCTGTTCTCTGGACATCTGTGGTGTTCAGGTAATCTTATATTGCAGCTTCCACTGCTAACAAAAACCAGGCCTGCTTCTAATTCTGTGATACTTTTTAAAAATGCCTGTTTGTATTAATCTTGACTGTTAGGCTAGATGTTGCTTGGTAGTATTGTCTTAAAGCCATGAAAAAGTTTACATAAGATTTTACACTGGTAATTAGAAATTTCTTATTATTGGAGATGATGATTGTAAGAAACAAGGGGTGTTGGGCACAGCTTCTTATGTAGGTGTTTAGATGAGTCAACCAGGGGTGATACTTTCCTGAATATCCTTCTCATAAACAGAGGAGTCAAGGATGTGGTAATCATTAGCAGCCTTGGCTGTAACGGCAATGGAATAGTGGAGCTCAAGACCCTGGGTGTAATGAGGAAGGCAAGTAGCAGAACACGGAACCTGGACTCCAGTTTATTCAGGCAACAGGGAGGGAGGCAACTTTGCAAGTTGGAGGAGCTGAAGAGGTGGAGGTCATCGTACAAGCACAGGGAGATTCTGTCCTGATACTCATGAAAACAAGTAAATGTGTTGAGGGATGGGCATAGCTATGCCTGCATTCTGAGGGTGGGGCGCAAAAAGAACATATGCAGGAGATGGAAGCAAGGACAGGCTATAAAGGAGAAGGATAAAAACCATTGTCTGGACATGTAGGTATGGTGCTAGGAAAGCCAAAGTTCTAGTGTTGAAACTAGCAAGGAATATCAAAGGTGACAAGAAGAACTTTTACTGCTACGTTAGTGGTAAAGGGGGTGGAAGGGAGGAGTGTGAACCTGCTGCTAAATGGGGCAGGTGATTTAGGAAGAACAGACACAGATAAGACTGAAGTACTTGGCCTTCTTGTATGGGTCTTCAGAACTGATGTCCCCTAGGCTTTGTGTCTAAGAGACAGGATTCAAGGAGAGGAACAACCAGCAATGGAAAAGTGTCAAGTTAGGAATCTCTTAAGAAATCTCAACCTGTACAAGTCCATAGGACCCACTTGGGTTACATCCTGAGAGGGCTGAGAGAGCTGGCTGATGTCATTGTGAGGTTGCTCCCTTATCTTCGAGAGGTTGTGGAGGTCAGCTACAGCTTAGTCAGCCTCACTTCAGTCCCTTGGAAAATCATGAAGCAAGTTCTCTTGGGAGCTATTTCTAGGTACATGAAGGAGAAGCCAATTTGGAATAGCCAACATGACTATACTTGCAAACTAATTACTTTTGGTGATGAAATGACTAGATCTGTAGATCCAAAGCCTTGGATGTCATCTACATTAGCTTTAGCAAGACTTTTGAAACAGTCTCCTGCAGCATCCTCCTCTTCAAGTTGGGATGTTAGATTGTAAACTACTAGATAAGTAAGAAAACTGGCTGGATCGTCAGGCTCAAAGAGGAACGGTTAGTTGTTCATACTTTACCTGGAAGTGGATTACAAGTGGAGTTCCTCAGCGGTCCATCCTGGGACCTGTCCTGTTGATAGGAGGATGTGGGATGCACCCTCATGATGTTTGTAGGTGGGGAAGGTGCCATAGACTGCTAGGAATAGGCTGGAGGAATGGCTCATCAGACCCCTCAAATTTCAACCAAGGAAGCTGAAAATTTGAGTGTGAAGTCCTGCACCTGGGTCTGTATGCTGCAGTGGTACAGGCTGGGGGACCACACTGCTGAAAGGACTGGAGGTCCTGATGGACAGTGGGCTAAATGTGTGCCAACACTGTGCCCTGGCATTGAGGCATATGAGGCTGTATTAGCAGGAGCATAGCCAGCAAATCAAGGGAAATGATTCTTCTTCTCTACTTGGCATGTATTAGGCTGCTCCTCGAACACTGTGTCCATTTTAGGCCCACCAGTACAGGAAGGCTATTGATAAACTGCTGAGGGACCTTGTTAAACCACTTCAGAACTTGCTGAGAAGTTAACAACAAGCTGGTGCCAGACACTTCACAGACGTGCATGATGGGAGGCTGAAAGGAAATAGCCAAGAAATGAAACAAAGGATGCAAAAGAGGTTGGAACTTGATGTAAAGGGAAACCTTTTCACTGTGAGGATGGGCAAGCAGTGGAATGGGACACCCAGAAAGGTATAGCCTCCATCCCTTGAAACTTTCAAGACCCACTTGGATAAAGCCTTGAGTAAGCTGCTCTGATCTAATGGCTGTTCCTGTTTGGAGTTGGAGGTTGGACCAGAGACCTTCTCAGGTCTCTTCCAACTGGAAGGAGACTGAATTTGAAAATGCTCCTTTTGTTAAATTGGGTTGAGGGGTGGAATGAAGTACCTCCTTAGGCTCATCATGTCAGTTTCTTGACAGAGCAGATTCTGCTGGAAGTCCACTACAAAATAACTGTAATGCTCTATAATAGCAGTGTATCTTCTGTATGTGAGCTGTTACATGGAATAGCTGAAGCTTGTATTTTTTTATGTTTGCAGAGTTTATACAGATATCTGTTTGTGTTGTGACATTGCCCAAGCATTAGGGGGTTCGGTGATGTTTCCTGCTTTCCAAGACAGAGGAGAATGTGCTGAGATTAAGGGCTGAAAATTCTGATAAGAATTAACGACCATATATCCCTTCTATCCAGTGACACTCCTTCACCGTAATATCTGTTGAGTTGTCAGCACTCTGGTGGCTGTAGCATCTAGAGTTGATTTGGGAATTTCTTCTGGAGAAGCTTTCTGTATAGACAGCATTTTATGTCAGTTATATTTTTTGTTTGTTTTTTTTTGTTTTTTCCTCAGCCACCAATGATCAACCTGAATGTGGACGATGATGTACAGTTTGTGAGAAGTAAGTTCCTGTATTCCATGTCTGAAGATTATTCTTGAAGTATTTCGTGCATTTTTACAATGCTGAGTACATGCTGTAAACAAATGAGAAATTGTTACATATCTAATACAGGCAGAACAGGAAGAATGCTGCACACTAAATGAAATAACAGATATGAAGTAACACGTTCTTCATAGTTTTTCCTCTTTAAATCTGCTGCAAGTATACCTTCCCACTGCTGTCAGGAAAACAACTTATGGGAAAAGTGAGTTAGAGAAAACTGGAACATCGCGCTGGCAAACATTGGTTTTCAGCTGGTATTAACAAATCTAAATACAAGCTTGAGTGAATTTGCGTTTTTTGTTGTTTCTCACCAGTTGAATAGTCTCACACATCTCACAGTAACACAAAACTGAATTGCTGAACCTGTCAGTTCATGTTAAAGAGTGCACAATCTTGCAGCCGTGGAATGGATATGATATGAGTAAAAGTGCATGTCTCGTTCATCCTGGGAAAATACTGAAGTTTGAAGTAGAGTGTTTCCTAGGGAAGTTTCCTTACTACGCACCCATGTGCACGAACACACACACACACATGTTCTATTGAAGCATTAGACTGGAATATTACTCAGTGACACAGTTAGATCAGATATAAAATACCTGGTTTGAGGAGAAAAGACAAGTAACAGCAGGATTTGACAGTCTTTCATTGACTCTAGCATCAGATGAGTGCATGCATACCATGTCTTTTTTGTGCTTTAAAAATACATACTTTTTTATGCTTTATGCATACATAAATAACAAACTAAAGTTAAATAAGCTGTTCATCAGTAACTTTTCTGCTGTTTCTGCGAATATGCTGGTAATGGATACACATAGCACAGGGATCTCTCTTAAACCTGTGGTGTCCTGGTGTCTGTAGATCTTTGTTGCGTTAGTAAATTAAACAATGGCATTGCCAATTCTTTTGCCCTGAGGCCAAATAGTACAGCCAGAGTTTTTCCATATATTAAGTTCTCGGACTCCAGAACAGATTGGTCACATCCAGGCTGACTCCTGAACCATGCCTGAATGTTACCTGGAAAATCTACTGGTTAATCTGGGCCAAAAGGATGTGAAAAAAACATTTTAACAGTGTCATCGAGCAGATGATAGAGCTGCAGTTCTCTGGCAGTGCCCTGACACAATCTGTAGTTAACTGAAGGTTTCATTGGTATTCATTCAGTAGTCTGAGCTCCTACAGAGCATACAGTTGCATAACTATTAATGTCCATACTAGCAGTCTGAAGTCATGAACGTTGAAAGCATGAAGATGCGTGCTTGCTATTAAGATACAATCACTGCAAACAAATGAAGGTATGTGTAGTTAATAGACTTTATATGATGCCATTGAGATGTCAGCGTTAATAATGACAGTGTTTTCAGACTTTTATCTTCATTGCTACTTCATAACTATTGTTTTTTTAAGGAACACTTCATGCTCGTGTAGTAGTGTACCCTAAATATTCTGTCAAAATTTTACAGGAACTCTGAAAGTCAAAAAGCCTCGATTTGATGCATCCTTGGTTTATTTGACCCGAAAATTCATGGATCTTGTCAAAACAGCTCCAGACGGTGTCCTTGATTTAAATGAAGTAGCAACAATGCTTGGAGTACGAAAACGAAGAGTGTATGACATCACCAATGTGTTGGATGGAATCCACTTAATTCAGAAAAGATCTAAGAATCTTATCCAGTGGGTGTGAGTTGGCTTTGAAACTTCTAATTTCTGAAACAATAAAACCCAACAATGGTTATAACTTTGAAAGTACTTTTAAGCATATTGAAATGCTTTTAGGAGATAAAAATATTTTAAGTTCTTCTGTATCCTTAGGCTATCTGAATTACGTACTGTATTGACAAGTATTAAGTGCAAACGCACTTGATATGAAATGTAATGAAACATATTTCAGCAGAGTAAAGGATGCCAGAGTTCCTTGTTGTTTTCTATTAGTATACTTTGTGTTCAGTAAATAGGCTTTTATTTATATAAACATACTAGACAACTTTCATATTCTTCTAGAGGTTCTAATCTTGACCAAGTTGTTGGAAAAGCACCAGAGCAGCAAAACCTTAAAGATGAACTTTCTGACTTGTCAGCCATGGAAGAAGCTCTGGATGAATTAATCAAGGATTGTGCTCATCAGTTATTTGAACTAACAGATGACAAAGAAAATGCAAAATATCCTTTTAACTCTTGCATTACTTTAACACGTGGTTTTGGTTGCAAGTACTCGGGTATCTAGTAATAGGTGTAGGCTGATACCACAGGTATGCAATAATACTCGATAATGAGTTTTATAATGAGTTTTACATAATAAAAATAACTTGCTGGTTATTTTGTATTAGTGCATACTAGTCATGTGTCCTGCTTGCAGTATCATGAGCAATCTAGCCTGTTCTCAGCGGAGTGCTAGTTGTGTGACCTTTCCACTGCAGAAGAATGGAAGTGGGGCGATAGTCTTGGTACCCTGGCCATCACCTTGTTCTCTCCATTATAGAGTAAAGTTGTCTCAGGGGCAGGTCTTGACCTACCAGTGAGATTGAGTTGCTTAGTGAGATGGGAAAGAGGACCCGAAACAGAGTTCCCAGTGGCCTGTTGCCAAGAAGATACAATGGTATGTTGGTTGTGTCCTAATACTGTTCTGTTTCTTGAGAGAGGTTCCAATGCAGTCTTGTCTTTCAGATGGGTTTTGATAACAGAAAAGGGATTTCTTTTAATATTACATAAATATTGGATTTTGGCTGTAGGTTACAATAAAATATTACTTAGCTGAATTAATGTGGCAGAATTTTAAGGTCTGTGCTCAAATGAAATGTGTGCATTTTCTGTATGGTATCAGGAAAACTTTTCCTTACACCTTACTTGTTCTGGTTAAGAAAATAATTCCATAGTTTTCCAGAAAATTATCTATGTGCATAGTTATTACAAAACAAAGTAGAAGTTTCTCAAGGGCAGCATTCCCTCTGCTTTGTAGACTTACAACAGCATCTGTGAAAACTGTTTGTCAAATTTGTTTGGTTTTTTAATATTGGATACCTCAAATTTTTAAAAGCTTTTTCCTTCCTAGAAATAAAGAAAAAAGGTTTTCCACTTGTTAGCTAATACTTAATTTTACAAAGCTAGTATTAAAGTAACCTCAGCTGATCTATTTACCACTTTTCTTAAGTTGGTGTTCTGCTTCAACATAACATATCTTAACATCATACTCTTTGCTTCTGCCCATTAGCAAATTACTTTACAGAATCCTTGACCAATGTATACACTAGCTTATGTGACATATCAAGATATCTGTAGCATTCAGGCATTTCAAGAACAGATTGTGATTGCAATCAAAGCTCCAGAGGAAACCAAATTGGAAATACCAATTCCTAAAGAAGTAAGTTTTACACATTTCTGTCTTAAGGGAACAAAAGTTCTCAAATACGATTTTTGCAGCAGCAGTCAGTAATTGACTTCCAGTTTCTTTGTCATGTATAGCAGATACTGGTACTTTATTGTTCTTGTGTTCTACTAAACAATGCTGTAGGGATAATAGTCTAAGAAACTTATTTTCAGTATTTTTTTGTTTACCTAAATTATTAAACAATAAACATGTCTGAGCTTTAGTTATTTGGTTTTGCTAGAGAGAATGGAACAGCTGTAATAAATGTTACTTATTTCCACTATCAGTTTGTTTGATAATTACTAGGGTAATGAAACTCCCAAAGAGCTGTTATTGTTTGTATACTAAAATCTACAAAAACTGTCAATCTAACCAAACAAAGCAATAAGTATGATTTGATAATGATTCTTAACAGCATGTAAATGCTTCTTGCTGCTTAATGAGTAGACAGCTATTGTTACTATAATATTAAAGTATGAAATGCACAGTATGGTTGACAAAAGAAAACGTTTTGGCACTCTACTAGATCATGTCAAGATGGATTTTTCATGGAGGTGGGGGGCTGTGCCCTGTCCTCACCTCATGGTACAACACGCATCTTCCCATTTGGGTCATAAAGAAGAGCCGTAGCTTTGCCTTCTGCACCCAGTCACACTGCACCTGGGCCTATATACTGGGAACCCACTGTTTAAAGTAGTGCTGTGAAAAAGGGGAAATACTGGAACTAAGCTTAAGATAACAAATGGAGCTTTAATTCTGTTTTCCTTTTGCATGTGCATTTTTTTATAATGTTCTTAATTGTGTAGTCATCAAATTTGCCTTGCTGTGTGCACAGAAAGGGAGCCGATACTGTAGGAAAAGGAGATATGAATCAATAGAACCAGAAGACTTAGATCCACTGCATAGATCTCCAGTGGTTTCACTGGTAAAGGAGCTGGCTCTCATCCTGTGGAGGTGAAAAAGATAAGATTACAGAGGCTTCCTGATGCAAAAGAAGGCAGGATTTAAAAAGCTGTATTTTGGGGAGAACAGAATCTTCTCTCCGTTGTCCATTAAATTTGATTTGCTCTGTGCCTTCCAATGTGATGTCTGCTGAAGGAAAGCAGTAAAAGTAATACGATTTAGCAGCTTTGATAATATGGCAAAGAAACTATGTGCTCTGATTTGTTTTCTGATCCATGGCATTGACTTGTCAAGTTTTAAATTGTTACTCTTCCTAAACGTATAGTAAATCTTGGTCATATATCTAAAGGTCAGTAAAAAGGCTAAACAAAGATTTGTTAAGTGCATGTTCATCAAAACTGAAACCTTGTTAGCTTAATGGTGCTTAATAATTGGCCTACAAATCTATGTAATAGTCATAATTTATGTAGAACTAGTAACAGAATTTTAGATAGTTATGTCGTTCCTGTATTTATGTTCTTAATCTATTGGCTTTAAAAACGTGCAAAAATAGATAACTGATGTGTAAGATTTGTTCTTTGGTTTATATGCAAGTCGCTGTTTTATAGGATTGCATAGAAGTACATGTGAAGAGCACAAAAGGACCCATTGACGTGTATCTATGTGAGGTGGAACAAGAGAAGCCAGGTGCCAAAACTTTTGAAGATATGGATACTGTCACTTCTGAATCTGAGCCATCAGTTCCTCCTGATGAAGGTAGTGTCTTCCATTTATATTTTTATCCCCATGGAATATGTTTTTTTTAAAGATGGTCATACCATTCTGATAAAGTTGCAAACTCTACTGTACAAGTATAATTTTCTGGGCGTAGTTTGTGGGCCGATATGTGTGGGAGTATAGGGATTGCCTGAAAGAGAAGTCTGTGCTGTTGTGTTACCTCACAACAGCAGGAGGTCAGAGAGTCAGGCACGTGCACACATAGCAAGGCACTCTTGTTCCCTGACCCCTTTCCTTCCTTTGCTCGTTACTGGTTTCCTGTCAAAGCTGCGCTCTGCGGATGGAACAGTGTGTGTCAGTTCTCAGCTGCCTCACTACAGAGTCCAGCAGCTCAGCTGAAATAGTTGTGATGAGAGTTAAGATGCAGTTTCAAACAAGAGAGTGTGCTGCTCTTTCTCATTCTGCCCTCCCTTAGACAGGGCAGTACAGAAGAGGTGATGTAGTATTTTGATCTCCTAAAACAAGGTTGGCTGGAATATAGTCTCTCAAGAGCCCCAATGCTGCAGGATGTTGTGGTTTAAAAATAAATGTGGCGGGAATTGCAGTAGCTCAGAACACAAAAGATAATTTATTTTTAGCAGTGCTGCTTTATAGTTGAGGGGAAGAGTTGACTTTTTAATCTTGGGCATTTTTTTACTTTATTTTGCTTGCGAAATGACTCAGAACTGTATTTCCTACAATGACAGTAATCGTATTCCTTTTTTTTATTTTCCTTTCAAAGTGAGATCTCCAGGGGAAGAAAAAAAACAAACCACCTGAGATGACAGATTAATTACAACATAAAAATCTGATACGGAATGTAAATATCTGTGTTATAGAGCTTTTCCAAAGCCGCTTGGATCTGCAAACTTACTAACCTGAAATGTTCCAAAGTGTTTTAAATTTAAAAGAGCAGTGGGTTGGTTGAGTGCTTTCACAGGATTGCTTATCTTTCCAAGTCAAAAGACGACAGTTCCTAGAATTGCTTTTAGGAGCTTTGTTTTCATAATTGCATGTGATCTACAGAGCTTTGGGAAAATGGTATTTTTAGCTTATGAAATAATCTTAATGGACGGAAAGCATAGGCAATTACTTCTAAAAATGAAGATTTGAAAATATTTCTGGAAAGATCCACAATCCTCATGAGAATGTATATAATAAAGAAATGCACTTTTCAGTTCTGAGGCTGCACTACTACTAAGCAGGATTGTCAAATACAAGTGTAACAAAGAACTGGTGTATCAGAAGCCTTCACTATAAGGAACAAGATGTAAATATCATGAGAGTATGCCTTACACTGTGTAGACGCTGTTTGCATTGTTTGCATCCAGCTCTGCATGAACTATGGTATCAACACTGAAGTTAAATAATGGGGCTTTTTGTATATATCTGTATCATGTTTAGGTAGTTACTGATGTAGATTTATTGAGATGGTTTGCATTTCTGCCTTTGTACAGCAAAGAAATAAAATAAGCTTATAAAAATACTAAATAGTCTAATCGGTCAGTCTAATGAAACATGTTGGGTTGTCTTTGTTGGAATTCACTGGGTAACTACAAACATTAAAACTGATGTGAAAATTTTAAATGTGTTATACGTGGTACTGGCAGCTCTGACTCTTGTGATGCCACAATATGTAGCAATTTTCAGAAGAAACATTATGATCAATAACTACTTAAATTGGTCCCTTCCAGTTTCTAGAGTTTACATACAGCATAGCTTTAGCCTAGTACCATGATCTCTTTGTGGCTTTAGCTTGCAAAAATATGTAAAATACTTGAGAACTACATCTGTATTCATCTGTCTTTAGTGTCTGTAAAACGAAGCTTCAGAATTTTGATACTGGGTTTTCTAAGTGAAGTAACTGTCGCTGAACAAATGCCATACTTCGGCTCATTTTGCTCCAGTACTGAGAGTGTACTTCATAGTTTTCTGTGTGGGGAGGGGTGGGTTGGTTGGTTTGTTTTTAAATGAGAACTCCCAAGTCCTCGTTTTCCCAATCAGAGAGTATCAACAACTATCCATCTACTCAAGTGAGAACAACAAAGCTTATAAACCCCTGAATACTTTAACCAGCAACTCTACAGCTATTTTAGACAGATGCTGTGAAATTAAATGCCCTGTATTCTACTAATACAAATAAGGTAGAGCAGTTGACACTGAAGAGCTTAAATATACCTAAGTACAAATTGAGAGTTAATCCAGTTTTCTACAAGGTGCGCTAGTTCTACAAAATGCATAGTACTATACCATGCAAATTGAGAAATACACCGAGCGCAAGCTTGCGTCAGAAAGTAGTCTTGGCTTCTTGTGTTACCAACTTCCAGCTCCAGAATATAGGACTTCAGTGTTGGATACTATTTTTTCTGCATCTCTATAAAATGCAAACTACAGGCTGAGCTGTTAATAAATAAAAGCAAAGTGAAAGCACATTTCATACGTAGATTCCAGTAAAAATGGGGGAGGTGCTCCTCCAATGGAGCTGGAGGTGGGGGTTAAAATTAAGAAACCATCTTTTCACATAGAAAGGTGGTCCTTTTCCTTCAGTGGCTGGCTTCTTTCCAGATGGCAAACTTGCCATTTGATTTTTTTATGGTGCTGTTCTGTTTTCATGGGGAGGGAGGTCTGTGCCTAAGAGAAGCATTGATCCACCTACACTGGTTCAACAACTTGGGATAACGTTTGCTGTGAAACGTGAAAATTTTCAGCACCGACACCTAATCCTGAATTCTATGCCTGTTTCGTGATGGTACAGTGTTTTGAACTGTGGAGTAAGGAAATGTACTTTTACGAAATAACCATCTTATAAATGTTAAGGAAGCCTGTCTTCAAAAGCAGAACATACTTTATTTAATTGAAACATTAGGATTTTTCATTTTGAACAAATCTAGCGATTCTGTTTTTCCTCTCTCCTTTGCGTGGGTTTTCTAGCTGTAGAATTCATTTTTTTACTTCAAGCTACACAATTCTCAGTAAAATGGGAGAAGCTGTAATACGACAGCTATACTATAATTATTTGCTTAAATACTTCTGTTGTTTTAATAGCACACCTTCAAGTGGAACAAATGGACTTTGAAGATTAAACCACTTTGTTGTTACTACTTGGATACATAGAGTACTATCCACTTGCAGTACTTGAAAACAATGTACTGTATAAGCTCAGTACGGTAACTGGCTGGAAAGATTAGACTTGGACTTGAGGAAAAGATCCTGAGTGACGCTGAACTTAAACACAAGTTACAAGCTTGCTTAAAAAGTAAATGTGATAGGCCCTTACTCTGAATTTGTATAATAATGCTTGATTTTTTTCTGAAAGCTTGTTAAGATTGAAGTATTTTTGTTGAGTCCGTATCTGTCCATTTTCAGCATATTTGTATGTGTAAGCACTTCCCTTGGCTATTTGAGGACTCTGCCTGTAATAAATTAAAAAGCTCTAATAATGTTTTTGTCTTTCCTTCAATAAGAATGGCTGAGCATCTAAATGCATTAATCAGCAATAGCAACAGCCAGGATCCGCAATTATAAAATGGCCTGGTTTTGCTGACTCTGTAACGGGAACAAACGTCGCAAGTTGCCAGTTCAGCCCTTATTTGGTATGGGAAATTACTTGTCGGAGTTTTCAGATGTGAATTGCAGTTTTTAAAAAATACCATTTGTAAAGAAGAGAGAAGATTGCTTTAAATTACTATCTTTTGGAAAGCATTTAAAAGACAGCAAATTCCTTCATTTTGAGTAATCTTTTTGTTGTGTGTGAAGAGCCTCATTTATAAGCGTAATTAAATTATGCCTATTTCAAAAGTCACTTCAGCTCTTGTAATTTTCAGTGGTGAAGTTAGCCTGCTTGCTAGACCATCGGCTGGCCCCGAGTAGCTGAAGTTGACTGCAAGCTTTAAACCCTTGTGTGTTCCACCATCTTGGTGTATAGTCTGGCTCTGGCACCGTCCTGGGACTTAAGTAACCGCTGGAGTGTTTATCCGGAGCAGTAATATGCGGGTTTTGATCTGCCAGTGGTAACTTGTGAGAAGTGTGTTGAGGCTAAAATCACATAAATTATACTTGGCTATGTACAGTTTATATAAATCTACACGAGGCTTCTCACATAGATGTTTACTGAAGGGTTGGGATACTCGTTTGTAAAAAAACATGGTATATGTTTGGAAGGAAATCTTACTTGATGCTTGGAGAGAAAGAGAAGCCTGGTTCTCTCCATGTATCTCGTACGTGGCTCCTCCCTTCCGTTCATCCCGCTGCGGTCTGATGGTGGGCTATCGAAGGACCTGTCTGGACACCCGCCGCACATCCGTGGGCTTTCAGTACCTTCTCACAACATGATCCATGAGTGAGGTCGTTTTTGTAATCACCCCTGGATTAAGTGATGGGGCTACAGGAGATGATCCTAGAAGTTGTAATAGCAAATTCAAAAGATGCAAGCTCAGGACATGTTAGCCCTTTATCAACTTTTATTAGGCCTCTAATATTTCATAGCATCTTTCTTCAAAAGGAAAACTTGGCACTTCAAATGAAAACTTCAGGAATCTAAAAATCTGGAAGAAGCTATTCAAGTTCCAGAAACAGTTTTGCTTTCAGTCTTTTGTAGATTCTAATGCAAATCCTGCACAGAACTGCTTTTAGATAATGCAATATTCTTTTCCAGACAGATAAGCAATTTTGGTGTTGCAGCTGTCATTTTCTAAGGAATTCTTTTTTTTTTCCATAAAAATGTCACAAGCAGGTTACAGCAGTAGTTGCTGCTTCTCTAACATGCAGCCAAAGCGCATGTCATGAAAAATGAAACAAAAATTGATAAAGTTTTCCTTGCAAATTAGGCAGGTGTCAGATCAGAGATAAAGTTTCAGCAAGCTCAGAAAGGGAAAACCTGTTTTCATACATATTTTAATTATAAGGCACACAAATTCTTAAGAGGCTTGCTGGCTTCTAAACCTAGGATAACACTTGTGTGCACAAACTGTGACCTCAACATTAAAAGAGTTCATTTCCAAATGTGAAAATAAAAGTTATCTATCAGAAGAAAAGTTCAAAGTCCAGTCAAAACATTTCAGAATTTATTTGGATAATAAAGTTTTGAAGAGGATTGTAAATTAGAGATGGGCCCAGACCTTTAAGTGCGAGTTAGAAGCAAATACTTGCAAACTTGAAGAGTAAAACAGTAGGCCCCACGTTTATTATACCAGTCATTAACGATAAAGATTGAAGCTAGATACTTCTCTAAAGATCGAGATTTCTGGCTGAGATTTAGCATGACCAAAATATCTGTGAGACAGCTGGGATTCAAACAGAAGAATTCTGGATCTGGAAACACCAGCAAAGGGAGAATTTCCCTCATTATTTGCAGCAGTAGCTGTTTGTAGGCAGGAGCTATCTCTTTATTTTCTTCACAAGCAGGCAAAAAGAAGTTCTTAAACACGGGTACCTGTACGAAACATATCCTACTAAATATTGCAAGTGGTAAAATTTTAGCATGGCTCTGGAACGAGGGAAGGCACTAAGACGATTTTGAAAAGGAAGATGCACAGTCAGTATCTCTAATGCTGTTATTGGTAAGACCCATCTTTCTGCACACTGTGATCAGATTGTCTTCTGACCGACTTCTGCTAGGTTGTACTCTGCCTGTGTCCTTGTTCAGAAGTGTCCAGAACATAAATCGTATGTAGAATGAATGAATGAATGAGCTGTTCTCCCCTGGCGAGACTCATGAACATTCGGACCGTTTCTTCCTGACCGTACGGCAGCTGTGAAAGTTCTCTGAGTAATACCAGACA